TATTCACACAAAACTAATGCAAAGGTTAATGATTTAAATGGCGAGACATCCATCTCGCAAACAATTCAAATAGTACACAAAAACCTCAGATCCGTTATGAATGAATTGATCCTTGTTTATATAAATTTCTGCCGTATTAGTTGTTATTTTTACACAAGCTTTCATTTCATTTTCAATAGCATTTCGGATACAATACACATATATTTTCCATGTCCTCTTATTACTAAGAGAAAAAAACAAGAACAACATCTATTATATACCTGAAGATGTCTGTAGGAACAGACGAAAGCTTGTAAAAAAAATAAAACTAATACGGCAGAAATTTATATAAACAAGGATCAATTCATTCATAACGGATCTGAGGTTTTTGTGTATTATTTGAATTGTTTGCGAGATGGATGTCTGCCATTTAAATCATTAACCTTTGCATTAGTTTTGTGTGAATAATTCATGTATTTGTAAATTGATTATATATATATATATATATATATATATATATATATATATATATATATATATGTGTGTGTGTGTGTGTGTTAAAATTGATTTCAAATTTAATTGTCAAATGTATTCATTTCTCTATCCTTCTTTGTCTCCTCATTTCTCTCTGTGTCTTTGTCTCTATCTATCTATCTATCTATCTATCTATCTATCTATCTATCTATCTAATCTATCCCCGTCTGTTCATATATTTCTTTCTTTTTTTCTTTCTTTCGACGTTACGCCCCAAAAATCAATACTAAAGTTTCGGATGATTTTTCTTTCTCAGAACTGTTTCCAAAACCACTAGAATTCGCACCAAAGTTACTTGATTCCGTGTAGGATGCTTTTTCTATGCACGATCAATAAAAGTATCAGTAAATAAAAGAGAGGCTTTGAGCAAGGCTCGAACCCGCAGGCATCTGTTGATATTACTATTCTAGAAAACAGAAGGTTCCCAAGTTTTGCCTTTCATTTAATTTTGGCTTTACAACCATTTTTACTCCCACGCAGCACCTCTCCCTGGATGCCAGGGAGAGTTCTTTGTCTGGTATTGTTAGTGACTTCCTTTCACAGTGGAAGTGATAGAAATCTTGTCTTGGTGATCATTTCCTCCTTTAAACAACTATCGATTTCTGTCTGCCCGAAGATAAGAACGCATTTCGGATGGAAAGACTACAATCCCGCATATCTATCTTTCTGTTATTATATACAATATACGAAAAGGCTATGTTATAGTATTATTTAGACATAATATTGATATTAGTAAAAACCCTTCCTCGCCAATTATTTGGGGAAAAATATTTCATTTTCACGCGAAAATGTTTGTTTTTAATAGAGTAACTAAGAAACTCAGGCACATCGAAGTACCCCCGAGCGGTGGCTAACACCTGTACCAAACGTATGAGCTGACATATTTCGATCTCATAAGAGCATAAAAAGAATCAAGATCGACGTCTGTAGATGGTTTTTGAACGTTATGTTTTGGTCGAGTTTATTCCATGTCTGAAAAAAAGACTTTTTCGGTAAAAACTTATATACAGGTTTACGTCGGAGAGGGGTTAAAAATAGCATTTTTATATAGAAATGAATAGATGATTTACTCGATGAAGACGTTCCCGCTTCACTCGCCATCTTTTTTCTTTTCCGTTTTTCTTTTCTTTTTTTTTTTTTTTTTTTTTTTAAACAACAGGCTCAGTACTTTTTCTTCTTTTTTTCACCATTTTACGCTAAGCAAGGTGATAATGCCACAAGAGACACAAGGGGTTACTGAGAGTGAAAGAAAAATAAGAAAAAGCTTATGAGGAGAAAGCGTTGTGGCATGTTAAGAGTCAGAAAGAATGATACGGAAAGAAGAAGGCAGATTGAACAAGTGTATTGAAATAACAGAACATAGGCTCGGCCAAATATATTCCCTGATTCGGGATCTGTCTACCTCCCCGGGCGAAACTTTGCCCTTCGGCAAAGCTTCATCCGGGTTCCTCTCTGCCAAAGCAGAGAGTTCGATAGAAGCCGCACACAGTCAGAGACTGCGGGTCGACTGCCGATATTTAACTGTCCCCCCACGAGAAATGTATGTGGCACAAGGCCGACTTTAACGTGGGTTTTTCCGATCCCGTAGGCTCGGCCAAAAATAATCCCTTAGAACTCACATAAGCGGGTTCGGGATCTGTCTACCTCCCCGGACGAAACTTTGCCCTTCGGCAAAGCCTCGTCCGGGTTCCTCTCTGCCAAAGCAGAGAGTTCGACAGAAGTCGCACACAGTCAGAGACTGCGGGTCGACTGTCTCTTTAGGAAGTCTCGCAGGTTAGTATTTATGAAGGAGGAAGAGTTCATTCTCGTGTAGATAGGTCACCATAACAGGACCGTAATGAAACAGGTTTCAGGAAGACAGAAGACGGCGATTGACGTTTCATTTAAATTTTTGAAGCCCTTACGTGGCAGGAAAGCCAGAGACCGAAATAGAGGTCCACAGGTGAGAAGTGCGAGGGAAGAAAAACTTAAAATAGAACTTGCGGTTACATCTAGCTATTTCAAAAGTAAAACGATGAGATCTTGTGGCCAAACTGTTAGTGCGTGTAAATTCATGTGGTCGAGGTACCGAATGTGAAATCGTGTTAGATCAATGAAAATATTTATAGAAAAGACACAGGGAAGCCACATTACGAAGGTGAGAAAATGACTGAAGTCGAGATGCCAGATCAGGACCGATAACATTACAGATCCTTCTTTGGATTTTATCGTGGATCTCAAACTATATGACAGGGGCACCAAATCAGATACGCCAGCAATATCCAATGCACGGACGAATTGTGGATTTATAAACGTGCAAGGATTCTGATGAGTAGAACTGTTTGGAACGACAATCGCTGGAAACTTTTGCACACATACATACACACACACACATACATGTTCTTTTTTTTAGCCAATCATTCAAAATTTAATATTTTGTATCTTTTTCACACAAACAATGCTGGCCGGGTATAAATTTACATGCAAGCAGAAGGCATCAACATTTATTTTCTTACTATACACCAAAGGCCCAAGAGTCACTGAAGGTAGAGGGTTACTGAATGAGATTTTTGTAAGGGTGTAAAGGGAGGAATAAAGGAAGGACATATGTAGGATATGAAGAATATATCTGGATCAACCTTAAACTTGAACAGGATAAAATTGTAGTGTTTGGGAAAGCAGTCTCTCTGGAATCTCTTCCACAATGTATAAGGTTTCGAGAAGAAACGTGGAACTTCTTCCATACGAATGGAATACGAAGTTAATAATGATGATCTGACGCAGTGTACGCAGTATGACGGATTCTAACTGTGAAAGTTCGAATTTGTGGGTAACTCATCAGAAGATTTGCCTTGGAAATAGCAAGCGAGAGTCAAACAAAGATTCTGTAGAAATAGCGCTGCAACGAGGAAAATAATTCACACAGAAGCTTAAGTGGGTGCTTTTGAACACTGTCAAGGGTGGAAAGTGAATATGGCAACGTCCTGGGTAAGACAACAAATTACATCCGCGTCCTGGGTAAGACGATAAACTACATCCACGTCCTGGGTAAGACGATAGATAAACTACATCCGACATGAATGCCTCTGATCAGGCGGCTTTGAGGAGCGTGGAACCTCCTCTTAATTGCTGGTGTTCTCAGGTCCACCCTGACCCGGAGTGGTAGCACCTGTTAGGGTACTAGATATGGGCAAATAGTTAACCCCATCCGCGTCCTGGGTAAGACGATAAACTACAACCGACAGCAAGGCCTCTGATCGGGAGGTCTTGAGGAGTTTAGAACCACCTCTTAATTGCTGTCAGGGTTCAAGCTATGGCAAATAGTTGTAACCCCACATAAAGGGGATCAAAACACTATGAAAGTATAAAAATAGGTTTTAATACCAGCAATTCATTTTAGGAAATATTATTACCAGCAATATATTTTTGAAAAAGAAAAATATTACCAGCAATACATTTTTTGGGGAAAAAATTATTGTCAGCAATACATTTTCGGAAAATATTACCAGCAAGAAAATCTTCTTGGCTTTAAGTAATCCATTGAGATTGGTATGCAAAAAAAACAAACCAAACCAAACCAAACCAAACTAGATATGACAGCAATACTCTATTCTGGGCCTGATCTGAGTGTTGCAAATATAGAGCATGACAGGAGTCAGGAACATTCTAGAACGTTACAAGGAACCGGCCATTTTTAAAACATTCTTTTGCCATGGAACGGGTATACAAGTTCCCATTGAGGTATGGACTAAGCTTTTGTCCCAGTCGACTTTCAAGACAAGGGTCCTCTATTGAAACTACAACCGTTCATTAGGACTAGGGTAATTTTAGGGTCACCTCAATTGTGTTGAAACGTAACCCACTTTGGCGGTAACAAATGATGAGTCTCCAAATATTCAAATGCAATGTCAATCGACCTCTCCAGATGCCTTGATCTATTCCCCGCCCTTCTCTTCATCTTTCCCTCTATTACGCCTCTTTACTCTTGCTCCCACTCTCTGTAACCCCTTACGTGCTAGTGGCACTCCCGCCTTGCTTGGGGTGAAATGCTTAAAATAATAATAATAATAATAATAATAAATTGCAAAGTCCAGAAGTGTTTTGCAAAGAGGTTGAAAGATTTGACAGCATTTCTAAAATTGTGGCGAATCCCGTGGGGAATGCTAAAATACCAAGAAGACTTGTTGTCACTTGATCAACAGTGAAAGCCAGCGTCATGAAAATGTGGGGAAGAAAAATGATTCGATCGGGCCTTCAGCCCGCGTGTCGATCATAACTATAGCAAAGTGTAAGCTCCCCACGGATTGTAAACTCCCCATGCTATTTCCGAGTTATGTTTAGCCATAGCTACGGGGAGAAAGAGGGGATTCCAAGCCTGGTTTGGAATTTAGCATTTATCTCCGGCGAAACAGATAATCCAAGCAAGGGTAGAGAGTTATGTTTACTCTTCTATTTTACACAAAGTTTAGGGAAGTAATGGGTTCGTGACTTTACTAAGGCGAACTGTCTCAGTCAGTTGGAATTTGAACTTTGATTGTATCTTTAGTGGTGAGGACTGTTAGGCCATTCGTAGCAGCAGCAACAGTAGTAGTAGTAGTAGTAGTATTAGTAGAAGAAGAAGAAGAAGAAGAAGAAGAAGAAGAAAAGGAAGAATACGATGCAGAGGAATGGAAGGAGGAGAGAAGGCGAAAGAAGAAACATAATCCAACGAAAAAGAAGAACGAGCAAAAAGACGAAGAAAAATAAAAATAAAAAGTGGATGACGAAGAAGTAGAAGAAAAACAAGGAGGAGTAGGAAAAGGAGTAGTAGTAGTAGTAGTAGTAGTAGTAGTAGAAGAAGAAGAAGAAGAAGAAGAAGAAAGGTAGGCTTTGTATACTTGGTCAATGGAACTGGGTTTAGGAGAGATAGAAAGAAAAAAGAGAGAAAGAAAGAAAGAAAGAAAGAAAGACAGAAGAAGAAGAAGAAGAAGAAGAATGAAGAAGAAGAACGAAGAGGAGAAAACGAAAAAGTAGAAGAAAATAAAGATAAAAAGCAATGAAGACATTGATAAAGAAGTAAAAGTTGTAGTAAAGAAGAAAAAAAAAAGAAGAAGAAGTAGAAGAAGGAGGAGGAGGAGGAAAGGGGGAAGGGAAAAAGTAAAAGTGGAAGAAGAAAAATAAAAAGATGACGACGACGACGACGAAGAAAAAGAAATATAAAAAGACCACGTAGTCGACAAAGAAGCAAATAAGAGTGGTAAGGATGATTTCAAATAAATGTTGAGGAAATACAAATCCACCAGGAAATAAGAAGAAAATTAATAGATAGGGAATGGGGGAGAGAAGTTTTAAAAGAATTTTATCATAAGCAGACGACAAATTGGAAAGGATCTGAACAAACGACCGAATGTAGGATTGAGTGAATGAAGTAGTGGATAAATAAACGAATAATTATCAAAAACTAAAAGAAAAAAGAAAGAAAAAAAAAACTAATATTAACAACGCTGCATCCACCATTTTGATGAAGATGATGATGATGATGATGATGATGATGATCGGACCCAGGAAGCTGAAGAAAGAAAGGATTAAAAAAATCGAAAAAAACAAAACAAAATAACAACAATAAAAACAAAAGAAGCATTAATAATAATGTTAATAATCGTGTTCATTGATTGAGATTAACTGGCGCCGAATTGTGAGATTTCGATCGTATCAAATCAATAATCAGTGAACCATAATAATCACTTCGATTGCGCAGATTTGTAAACATACGTGCGTACCCACGCACACACGGAGCGCTTGTTCACTTAAATTAATTGTTTCTAAAAGAAGAAAAAGATTTTAAAAAAAAAGAAAAAAGAAAATCCTATCGGTCTCCTGGTAGAAATATCTGAAATCAGAGCGTGTCAAAAACAACTGCTTCAAAGCAGAGGTTAGTATAAGTGCTACACGCGCATGCGTATTAAAACTTTGTAGCATTATGGGATTGGCGAGAACACGTGTTTGAAAGTATGTTGTTGGACGTGTAGCTTCTATCTGTTTGCGTTTTGTGTGTGTGTGTCTCAGTGCGTGTGTTCACGCATTCTTGAATACATAATTATAAAAAAATTAAAAAAAAAACAAACAAAAAAAACCCCCAAAAACAAAAGAAATGACCTGGTTGTTAGATTAGATATTTGTTTCTTTGTTTCTGGCGCCGTTTCCTGCCCGGGTAATAATTAAGAAAAAAAAAAAAAGATCTCGAATCAGTTGAGAGTTCTTCAAGAAGGTGAAGATTCCCCGTTTAAAAGATTGGCAAAACATAATCTTCTAATGAACATTTCCTCTAATTTACCATTAAACTCAAAGACTATAACCATGACCACAAGAATTCCGTAACATCTTAGAATCACAAGGATACCACATCTACAGCAATCGCTACATCTAGACTAGAGCTGTCAATTCCTCACTTTCAAGCGTTGACAGTGTCCAAAAAGGGTCTGTTCGATAAATTGTTTTCCACCCTACAACCTCTTTCCCCAAAAACGAAACGTTATTATCTTCTCGCTATTCTATCTCTATTTTCATGGCCGATATTCAGGAAAACGACAAGCTTTGGTTCCAATAGTACAGACATTCGTCATTAGGATCCGTCAGGTACACAGAGTCGACTCATCCCTATTCAATTCACATTCCATTGGTGAGAAGGAAATTCCACTCAGGCTGCTTCTTCTTATCAGACTCCCGAGAGGATGCTTCCCGTACCACCGCAATATTAACTTCTTCAAGTCTAGGGTTAACCGTTATCTATCCGACATATCCTCATAATATGCGCCTCTTGCTCCCTTCCTCAACACTCAATCAATAACCCTCTACCTTAAGTGTCTCTTGGGTCCTGTATTGGATGAACAATTCATTTATTAAGTTTAGCGCCTTTTGAGACCCTCCTGTGGTTCATTGTGACAAGGCCGAATAGTGCAATGGCCTGTCGGTTCCTTTTGTATCGTCGATGTTGAGGTTACCCCGTCCCAGAGAAGATAAAGACGCATGACCTACAAGGTAGCAGGTGGCTTGAATTCAAAGTTTTCCTTCTCCCAGACTGGTTGCCAACCAAGGCTATAGAGCCCAGTCTCTCCTGCAATTTACCCATAGGTATGAAGGAACCCATCCCTTTTTAGATTGGTCTAGAATTCGCAGCCTTACTAAGGTTGAGTGGTCCAGTCTGCAGATTAATTAAGGGGCGATTAAATTATGAAATTAAGTTCTTCTAGACTGGCTGATAATCGAGGCAATAGAACCTCATTTACCCTATTCCTTTACCCCCAATTGCAGGAAGATGAATTTTTACTTTTCCCAAGGGCAACAGTGCGAAGTGAACGAAATAGTGTCATTAAGAATATGAAACGAAAAGTGAACAAAACAAAAATGGACGGGATGACACATTTGCAAATAAATGCAAAACAAAATGGACGGATATTAATAACTGTCTGGGGAGAAAATGTGAACAATGACTATTACTGCTACTAATGCAATACTCTTCGATAAAACTAATCGAGCTCTTTCAGTCACTGGCGTGTTTATCTAAAAATAAATACGCTTAAATTCACCTTCATCCCTGCCGTGCGCCAACGGCTAGGGGTAGGTTCTCCGATTGACGTCAGTTCAGCCGGTTTCGATCCTAGCTAGAGGCAACCGGACGTCAAGCCACGCTGATTGTCTGTGAATGACTATCTATCTATCTATCTATCTATTGGGTGCCGTACAATTTGAAGCCGAGAGACGTCGAACGGCGTCTTGTCACGTGTGAACAGCTGCTTCAACGGCAGAAAAGGAGAGATGAAAATCGATGAAAAGTGGATACACTTCGATAATCCTAAGCGTAGAAGATCGTGGGGATAAGCCTGGCCATGCATCAACATCGGCGGCAAAGTTGAATATCCATGGTTCGAAGCTTCTGTTCTGTATTTAGTGGGATCAGCTGGGTGTAGTTTGATTATGATCTGCTCAAATCGACCGAAACCATCACGGGACATCACTATCGACGAGAATTGATGCGTTTGGGCCGAGCATTGAAGGAAAAACTGCAAAATGATTTTGGAACATGACAGCGCTAGGCTACATGTTGCAAAACAGGTGAAAACCTACTTGGAATCGCTTAAATGGGAAGTCCTAACCCACCCGCCGTATTCACCAGACATGGCTCCCTCCGAGTATCACTTGTTTCGATCGATGGCACATAGCCTGGCTCAGCAGCTCTTTCATTCCTAAGAAGATGCCAAAAAATGTGTCAATTCATGGTTAGTCTCAAAAAACGTGTTTTTCCGACGTGGAATTCAAATGCTGTCAGAAAGATGGGAAAAAGTAGTGGCTAGCAATGGACAATACTTTCAGTGATACGTTTTTTACTAATTTTTGTGAATAAAGCATTACCTTTCATGAAAAATCAGCGAGAACTTATTCAAGGTTCTAATATATGTATACACATCTAATATATGTATACATATGTATACATTGATAAGACACCATCAAGTGATGGTATTCAACACCATCACTTGATGTGACCCCAGAAGTGTTGAAACAAAATGGCTATTTTTGTAGTGATTTTATAACATATTTATGTTACAATTTTCGAATAAATAATTATACACACACACACACACACACACACACACACACACACACACACACACACACACACACACACACACACACAGGGTTCGAACCTGCATTACCTTTTGAAAGAAAAATTACTGATTCGGCGTGCCTTAGACAGCTCAGTCACAGAGAGTGTTACAGGGCAGCAATGTTCGATTTCCCCTTTAAGGAAAGCGTATTTACACGTTCACATTAATTGTAACAAAATAATTTCTTCTAAAAACAGTTTAACCGAAAGCGCTCGGAACTAAATTCTGGAGAATTTATACATTCATTAAGTACAAAAGTTTGATACAGGGCACATTGCGAGGATCGAACTCTTTCCTTAGTAGTAATGGACCACCAAAGGGGACTCGGTATCCATTATCCCAGGCCAAGAAGCATCTGTGTGTTCTCTCCCATCTGTGGATGACAATATATATGCCTCCGAAAAATTAATTTTGGTCGAGCACTCTGGAGAGAAAGTGCGAATTTGCAAACAGTGACTACTACTGCTGATAATGCAAAGCTATTCTATGAATTGATCACTCTCAGTCACTAGCGTGTTTATTCAAAAAATAAACGCGTAAAAATTCGCATTTCTCTCTACCGGGCGCTGATAGCTCAGGAGTAAAATTTTCGACTGATGCCAAATCAGTCGAATTTCGATCCCGGCTTGAGGCAATCGGTTGTTTAGCCACACTGATTATCTGTGATACAGGAAAACAGTCTGTATGTGGATATATATATTTAAACTCACTGACTACTCGCTGAACGACACGATCCTTGATTTTATTAATTGTAAAATGTATTAGATGTTCGGTCCATGTTGCAAGTGCTTTCGGTAAAACATTTGCCATCCTCAGGCATAGATATTATTTTTTTCCTAATTTCAGGTAATTTTGGGTAAAATTCCAAAACGAAAATGAATATGATACTTGTCGAAAGATGTTCTAAGAAAAAACTTCCATGACGAAAATGAATGTGTGTTACTTGTAAATTACTACATTAATATTATATTTAAAAAAAAACTAGCGTTCCATTACTGCGCGCTCAAAAGAAAATTCTTAACTGTTAATAATAGCACACATTTTAATGAAACATGTTTCGACAAGTATCACATTCTTTTTCGTCTTGGAATTTTCCCCGAAATTAACTGAAATTGAGAAAAAAATAACATCCGAGGATGGTAAATGTTTCACCGAAAGTACTTGCAATATGGACCGAACATCTAATCCATTTTACAATTAATATATATATATATATATATATATATATATATATGATAAAGTTATTTAACTGTAAATATCAATTGTTGATATTTCTCCGACTTCGAAGTTTCTTGGAATTGTCCATTCTTCAAGGGGACTCTTGTTTGATTAAACTTATTTCAATTTTTTGACGTCTTTTTTAACCCGTTATGCACATAAGCACCTTCATGACTTTTACGTAT